ACGAAGTGGCTAGCCGTTTAAGTACGGCTAGACTGAGAGTCTAGCCGTACTTAAGTACGGCTAGACTGAGAGTCTAGCCGTAAGTACGGCTAGACTGAGAGTCTAGCCGTACTTAACCCTCGTAGCGCTTCAGGCGACATAATTCGCCTCCCCTCTCTCACTCCGCTGAGCGCGCGAGGCGACAATAATTGCCAACGGGCGGGCCAGCTCCCAAGCGCGCGAGGCGACTTAGTTAGGGGAACACCTTATTTTTGGAGCAAATAGCGTCACTTTTAGATGCTATTATTAGTTCTGTAATGGAAAATTTTACTCTAGAATGGTTCAACCAATCAAAATCAAGGAAAAAATAACCCAGGGGTCAAGGCACTGCGTGCCTTCGTGGGTTCTGTTAGGGATAGACTCTATATAATGTTTATTTAGGTCAATTGCCCAGTAGCGCTGAACAGTGAATGATTGGTTTAATTAACAGCTTTCCCTTTATTATTTTGAAAACCATACCTCTGGAAAGTGAAGTCTTTTCTGAATTTATAAATTGTCTAGGGTTTTGGTGAATGTATGCGTGCATACTGTCAAGATACAAAATGAAACAATAACATTCCCCGCGTGGGCCTCAAACAACCCGGCCAGCGCTCCGGGGCAGGTCACAAACGGTCAAGGATAAGCGAGCCCGGCACGGAGTACGCTCAGCGCTTCCGGTAAGCGCTACGAGGGTTAAGTACGGCTAGACTGCCAGTCTAGCCGTACTTAGATCTAGGTTTGGCCCAATCGACTCAAGCCTGTTAAGTACACAGGTCTCATTAGATCTAGATCTAGTAATTATTCAGGTTCAAATACATGCAAGTCGGTAAGGCACCTTTTGGTTTTGTCTGAAATACAAATACTTTTGGCATTGCAAACTAAAAATTTCATTTACAATTCAGCCATCAATATTAAGTACGGCTAGCCTGACAGTCTAGCCGTACTTATCTTAGGCCCTATTAACATTAGAAAACAGGAGGTTTAAAATACATACACTGTCATTAAGGCACCTGGTTTAGTCTCAAATACAAAATGCTTTAGGTACTGCACACTAAAAATGTATATTTACAATTCAGTAGGCCTATTTTTTGTAAATGGTCAGTCTAGCCATCATATTAAGAATAAGTACGGCTAGACTGCGAGTCTAGCCATACTTAAGTACGGCTAGACTGCCAGTCTAGCCGTCATTAAGTACGGCTAGCCTCTTCCCTAATTAAAACCTCCTAATCACCTAAGCAATGGCCCGGCTGGTGACACCGGTGTGAGTTGTGTGGTAGGGATGGGCAGGTACCGGTACCGGTGATCTTATACTTTAGCACGTTAAATTCCCAAAGTCTACTAATCCCCGACTCAGACCTTCAAAACTTTGAACTTGGCCGAAAAATGCGCAAACTACCGTAATTTTGTCAGGAACAGATGGTATAACAAGTATAACAGTGATTTTCTTTCTTCCATCATGATGTTGGAAGCCATTGAGTATAATCTTGATTAGATTTGATAGATCTTGTTTTAAAGTGGTCGCTCGTTACAGAAAAGGGAATAAAATCAATTGAAGAATTTAATGTGCTAAAGTATAAGATCACCCCGGTACCCAGTAGCGGAATTCCCGGTTCTACCATAGGAGGTGTCAGTACCAGCACCTGGCCCCCAGTACCGGCTCTGAGAAGAAGCCAACACCAATGGTTTGGGAAGGAGCCGACACCTAGGACCTAGACGCTCAGAGAGTAAGAACATAGGCAGACACCAACGGTTTTTTAACCGGGCCACGGGAAGTGTGTTGTGTGTAGACCTTGGCCTAGCAGCTGTGACGTCAGATGCACACTACGCAGCAGGTGACCTTGATGCATGACTTCAGATTCAAAATTGACAATCAAAAACTGGAAGTTTGCTCAAATTTAAATATGGCATCAAATCAGGTTTCGCTCGAGCCACTTTGCCTATTTTGATACCTTGATTCCGAAAATGAAATCAGTTTTTAGCGGCGATAATTATTTTTTACATTTTGCATGCAGAGTCTTATCTCACGCGGCAGCAAACTTCAAAGGTATTTTACATCACAGTTCGCCTCTCCAATTCTGACATGTGTGGGGGGGGGGGGATGCCGGCGGCGCTGATCGTGGTGTGAGACGCGAGACGCACAATCTGTAACGTCACCTCCTGGTGTCGCTCCCAGTAACGGTGCCGGTACTGGCGGCTAGTGCCGAGAAAGAGTTGACACTAGGTTTCGCCGGTACCTCTCAACACTGGTGAGTGGGGCTGGTCATCATTCCACTGACTGTAGTGTCTTTAGGCAATTCCCAAAGGGGGGACATATCTCGTTCAAGCATAGTAGAATTGTAAATGGGCTGACTCATGTCACGCTCATAACTGTGCCTGATCTACAACAGGGAACTGCTGCTTTTTCTTTCCTGATCCTTACTATTGTCATTTTCCTCTACTTCTTTTGTATGTTTGTCACTCTCTTGTGACCTGCTATTTCCAGGGTGCCTTGATAGTCGAAGCAGACCTTGTGCTGTTGAAGCTAGAGAGGTGAGCCGTCTAAGTCTGATTCCCTGTAAAGACTTCTCTGTTGACACCCACCCCTTGGCGCTCATATATCACCTTTTATGCAGTTGCGAGCGCCGTAAAACCCTCGACTATAAAAAAAAAATAAAAATAAACAGCACTCCTGTACATTTGCGGTCTCGTAAGATCTAGCACTAAATCACACCAGCAAAGACTACTGGATATGGATACTGATTTAAATATTCGGTATCAATGTTTTATCAGTAGATCTAGCCTACAAAATGAGCAGTAAATAAGCACTTACAAGTATTTAACAAGGCAAGGGGGGTTTCAGGGGGCTTGTCCCCCTGAATTTGACCATAATTTGATGTTTTGCAATTAGGTTTTATTGGCTAGACTATCTCTTCATAGCCTCTATGCCTATATGCACCCACATCAAAAAGTAATCGTTTAGAACCAGAAGTAATGGTTGGTGGGGTCAAAATGAGTATATCCCCAAACGGGACTGCAATTGTACAGGAGTGCCCATTATACTAGCATCATTTCATTGTGATATTATTTTTAAGAATAGCTTATTATTAAGTTAGGCCTATTATTATTAATATTGTCATTTTACGTTAGGCCTACTTAGTTATGTAGTGTAGATTTAATAGAAAGGTAGGCTAATATAAAATATTAATTTTTAATCATCGCGGCGCTGTATCGCTATAGAAAAGACCAGCAAGTAACTAAACTAAACCAACATCTCATTATTTCCTTCTTCTTGCAGCAACGACTTGCAACATGTTGAAAAGTGTATTGAGGATGGGGCCCTCTCAAAGCTGTTGCAACTCCCATCAACTCTTGATGACTTTTCAGAAGCCAGCCTCATTAGAAGCATGGGATTTTTTCTCAAGTAAGTAGGCCTGTTTTATTGCCTTGTAAATTGCAAGGTACTGTGTATGGCCTTGAAAACAGCAAATTCACGTAATTTTTGTGTGCCTTTGATGAACGTGTTTCAACAAAATCCACACAGAATTGTATTTTTGAATGGACATTAAAGGCATTTGGCCAAAAAAAAGAATTTTTAACGATATTGCCCACCAGGCAGAAAAATTTTGGTTTCTTCAATTTCATTATTTTGACGGGGGCCTGATTCCACTGCAATGCCATACATAATGTGTGAGGCAGCGTGGTGGAAACAGGCTCTCGTCAATTTTTGGGCATGTAGAGTCATTGGTATCATCTTAAAGATTGTTCAGTTGTCTTTATTTGGATGAAAAAAATATCCATTTATCTTGAATACAAGGAGGTGGGGGTCACCTGTTTTCAGAAGTAAAATTAGTGAGAAAATGGCCGCCAAAGATTAGTCATTTCCTTAGCCTAAGAGTCCGTTGTAACTGAAAAATTTGCATTTTTTTGTGCCTTTAATCAAGGTTTTTCAGAAAAATTCACTTAGAAATTAGTTCTTTAATGGGCATGAAAGATGTTGAGCCGAAAAACAAAAATTTGATAAAAATTCACAAACCTGCGGAAAAATGCAAGTTTTATCACTTTGAGTATTTTGACGAGAGCCTAATCCCACCACGCTGCCTCACAATTATGTTCTATCAGTTTATATATCCACGTCATTCAGGGTGTTGGTAGCTGTTTGTGTGTCCATTATCTTTTGGTTCTTAAGTTTAGCAGGTACGAAGCAAAATCAACAAGACAGGTAACTCTTTTCATCATATTTGAATTTCACATGTTGTTGTTTCAAATATAAAGAATAATACATGCGTGCATACGAAAAGATTCAGGGCCTGAGAATCTGTTCACTATATGCGCATGTTTCTTAGCTGTGAGCGTGCTTGACTACTGTATTTTTTTTTTTTTTTAGTTAAGTTTGTTGTTCTTTTCTTCAACACAGGGCCAGTGAGAAGCAAATTGTCCTGGCCACCAAAGACTTATCGAATGACGCCATACAGAAAAACCTCTCATGGACCAAGAACAAATCCTCATCCCCTTTCAGTAATAGACGCTGCTATGCAATGTATCCTTTTGGAATGTGCTTTTGTTACTGTTTGTCTTGGTTCAAGATAAGAAGATAAAAATTTTGTAAACATGTTACTTATTTATTGATATAAAAGCATCATATTGGTGAGCCCTACCTTGCATTCCTAAACAAAATAACAAATATTGAAATTTTAGCAAGTGTACGGTCGAATGTTAATTCTGCATCTTGAATAGGCTTTTGCAGAAATCTTGAAAATTGCATTTTAAGTCTGACTTATGTGAGCTTTTTATATCCTATAGTTGAACTCTTCTAATGAGACGTCCTAGTCATGTCAAATGTTACTGTACTATGTTGGTAGTTGGAGGGTGCTCTGGTGTGGTTTGCTCCTTCTTTCCTATAAAAAGTTTATCTTCTCTATCTCCCCTCCTTCTTTTTTTTGTGTTTCTTAAACTCTCTTGTAACACTTCTAATCTTCAGCACTTATATGACCTTATTGTGTAGCAAGTGCCGTAAAACTCTTACTAAAACTAAACTAAACTTGCTGTACTGTTGTATCTTTATTCTTCCTGACTTGACCTCAGAAATATAATGTTGAAACAGCGGTTCAGCCCTCAGTTTTTGCAAGAAGCTGCAAGATCTCTTCCTTTTGATTGTGTATTGGTAAGGCATTTTCCTTTTTTACTGGCTCATATGCTAACATGTTTGTTTATTTTATTTTATTTCAGAATTGCCATTCAAAATAATATGCTATTTTATATAATTTTGTAGTATTTGTTTACTTCCAGACCTTCAATTGATTTATATGTTTTCTTTCAGAGTATGTAAATGACATAACATAGATATGGTCGCTTTTAAGGACAAGCGGGCTAACCCAGATTTCAGATTTCCAGAAATCTTTACCTACAGCAAAAGTGGGCATTGCCCTATCTGTAGGAGAAATTTGGTTTCTTTGATGTGTATATTTGTTTGGTTACAGAGAAAACTCTCCTTGTCTTTTGAAGGAACTGAGCAAGGGGCAAAAACTTTACCTTCAATTTTCTCAAAACAGCATTTTTCGGGATAGCCCCCTTGTGCTTAAAAGCGACCATATATGAAAGTTAGCTTGAATTTCATGAAGGAAAGTTCACTCCTTGATTGCCTGCTTACAATCATGTGGTAAAATTTCTTCATTTGGTTTATTTATGAAAGTGACACATACACGTTGAATTAATGCTGTTATATTCTAAGGGTCAACTTTTAGGACAAAGATAACACTTTCCACCATCATCAGTTCTCATCATGCCCATAATATGTCTCGGCTTTCTTTCCACGTTAACCTACTGATGATATTGTTGGATGTGCAACTCGCAGATAAGATAATATGTACCTTTAGTTTCCTTGAATTTCTTAAAAATAATGGATGACCGATTTAATTATAATGTGTGGTGGGGGGAGGAAGTACTCATACAAAAATGAGGGGGGAGTTTTTTCTACACATTTTTGTGATGGAGGAAGATGGGTTGTTGTTTTTTTTGGTTGGTTTTTTGTTTTTTTACTGTTTGCCTCTCCTGTCACAAAGTTATCTCTCAACAGAGCCTGATCAAGTACCTTCACACTGTCCTGTTGTGGCTGCCTGCCGTGCCAAATAAAAATGAGTCTGCCCCGTCACTTGAACACGTGAGGTTTTTTTTTTTCCATTTATTTCTGTAACTGCCTGGACCCAAGAGCACGGTGCACACCTGAGCGTGTGGGTGGTTGGCGGGTGCTCTCGTGTGGTTTGCTTCTTCTTTCCTATCAAACATCTATCGCCCTTATCTCCCTTTCTTCTTTTTTTATGTTTGTTACTCTCTTGTAACACCTCTAATCTTCTGGCGCTCGTATGACCTTATGCAGTTTGCGAGCGCCGTAAAACCTCTACTGAAACAAACAAAACACCTGAATGTGACTCTCTTTGTCCTTCTGGCACGGAGCCTGTTAGCACAGGGAAGAGGCAGGGTTCAGAGAGTTAAATGTTTACAGTGCAGTGAAGGGGTTTTGTTTTTTTTGTTTTTGAGGCATTTTTTTCCCTCTGCTTCTAATTTTAAGTACTTTTTTGTTTTCAAGTTTCATAAATATTTTGTTTTCTTTGGAGGTAACCTTTTCAACATGTGAGACTGGACTTCTTTTGAAGACAGTTGAGTGAATCATTTATTCATTTAATCTACTTATATCATCTTTTTTGTGTTGTTGTTTTTGTTGGTGGGTTTTTTTTGGGGGGAGGGGGTTGTAATCTAGATTTCCATCTGTAGCCATTTTATATATTCACATGGCCTCTACTTTGATCCTTTCAACAGGCAAGTCTCTGACTTTGAATTGGACATTAACACCTTAGCTCTTCTTGGTAACATAAACTGTGGCACTAGTTGAGAAAGAATGATAGTGATGATTAAGAAATTATGAATGCCTACTTATGATAGGAATGGCAAGAATATTTGAAGACTACAGCAGGAAAATGACTGTAGTCACCAACTGAAAATCGTGAAGGTACCAATTCTGAACGTTTGTTGACTCATAACTGTATTTCTGTTCAACTGTTTGTTGATTATCGTTGTTAGATTTCCTATTCAGCAACACTTAACAATAAACCACCAGTCAAACAAATATGAAGTTCTGAGTCCCCAAGCTTTTAAAATTGGCACCCTCACAATTTCCAGTTTGTGACTACCGTTGTTTTTCGCGTGTAGTTTTCATTTATGAAAATGAGGGAAATGGCTTGATGATGTACATGATTGAAAAAAAAATTATTGATTATAATTATATTCATTTTTTCTTTCCAGATAATCGACTGGCTGAACGCCCTCTTAGACAGCCATGTGCAGCAACTCAAGCTGGCGGAGGACGCCACAGAAGTCGTGCAGACCTTGTACGAGCAGGTCACACTCATGGTGAGTGCTAGTTTTTGGAGGATCTCGATGCATTGGTGATGTTGGTGGCCTAGTGGTTAGGCTACCGGTCTCGTAATCGTGATGTTGCGGGTTTGAATCCCGTCAGGGGCCCATCATTGTGTCTTTGTAAAGGCACCTTGCACAATTTTTTTCCTCTTCACCCAGGTGGGAATGGGTACCCGGCTAAGGAGGATGAAAGATCTCGTCAGTTTGGTAATGTTGGAGTTCTTAACGAGCGGTTTGCACTGAATGCTTTCCAGGAAGCCGAGAGGGTTTCTTGGTGATCTTTGGTCTATCTCCAACAGGACCAGGCCAAATGGAAAAATTCTTGTAAAGTGTATTCCCAAGGACACAACAATGGACTCTGCCAAGCCTCAAATCTGTAATCTTACTTATGTTTCCTGCGACCTCCTTGAATTCAAGGAGTCCTTGAAAACTCCTTGAATTTGCATTCAAGGAAACATCTCCTTGAAAACTCCTTGAATTTGAAAAACCTCCTTGAAAACTCCTTGAATTTCGCCGGATCGGACATAAACAAAATTTTTGTCTGAAAATCGAAACTATGATTCCTTTCAGACAAGTGTAAGCCTATTGGGAATAGGCTTTCGGCATGTGTTTGTAGACCAAATCTCCTTGAATTTCTAAAAATTTCTCCTTGAAATCTCCTTGAATTTGGTGAGGAGTTGATGGCAGGAACCCTGCTTACAATTACAGGTCCATTTGCTGCGTGACCACTAGATGACTGACTGATGCCACAATGTGTTTGTAGCTCCCAGGGTTTTGTTTGGGTTTTTTTTTTGTGACTGTTACTCGTGACTGCTCCTGCCTACTTCATTTCCATATGAAGAGCACTGGGGAAAAACGACTGTAGTCACAAACTGGAAATTATGAGGGTGCCAATTTTAAACGCTTGTGTACCGTACTCATAGCTTCATGTTTTTTGGACTAGTGGTTTATTGTTCTGTGTTGTTGAATGGGAAATCTAACAACAAAACTCAACCAACAATTGAATAGAAATACAGTTGTGAGTCAACAAACCATCAAAATTGGTACCTGCACTATATTCACTTTGTGACTACAGTCTTTTTTCCCCCTGTAGTCTTCATATATAAATTTGTAGCTTGCAGGTTCAGAGGGCATCAATGATAGGTCGTACCGGTGCTTCTGCCCTTTTTCTCTCTCTCTTATAATTGTTTTCTCCGTATACTAAATGACATGGTTTTCCTAGCTTGAAAAAAAAAAAGAAAACCAAACAAACTATAGGCACAACCATTTATATTTGTGAAAATTGTGGCTTAGATTTAAATTTGAGACAAATTTTCCTCTGTTTCTACAGACAAAATGGCAGCTTAGATTTAAATTGAGACAAATTTTCCTGTTTCTTCAGACAAAATGGCGGCTTAGATTTATATTGAGACAAATTTTCCTCTGTTTCTTCAGACAAAATGGCAGCTTTGATTTAAATTGAGACAAATTTTCTTCTGTTTCTTCAGACAAAATGGCAGCTGGAGACCAAGGCTTTGCTGGGTGCCCTGGCAGAACTCAACAGACAAGTGGAGGAACAGCAGCGAAATACCAAAATGGGGAACTATTGCATCGAAGTCATTTCTTTTTGAGGGAGTAATAAATTTACAGGAAAAAAACTAACAATTTTGTCACTGCGTTATTTATTTGTTGCTCCTTTGTTGAAGCAGAGACAATAAACAAGTTACGTGGGTTGTTGGCGGGTGCTCTGGTGTGGTTTGCTTCTTCTTTCCTATCAAACATCTATCGTCCTTACCTCCGCTTCTTCTTTTTTATGTTTGTTACTCTCTTGTAACACCTCTATAATCTTATGGCGCTCATAGGACCTTATGCAGTTGCGAGCGCTGTAAAACCTCTTCTAAAACTAAACTAAAACTCAATGTCATGCTCATTCTGCTTTCCTCTTCATTACTATCGTCATTTTTCTTTTTCTTTTGTAGGTTTGTCACTCTCTTGTGAACTGCTATTTCCCGGATGCCTTGATAGTTGAAGCAGACTTTGTGCTGTTGAGATTAGAGAGGTGAGCAGAGTAAGTCTGATTCCCTGTTTGGACTTCTCTGTTGACATCCACCCCTTGGCGCTCATATGACCTTATGCTGTTGCGGACGCTGTAAAACTTTACTAAAACTAAAAAGAATACGGTATTCCTTCGAATATTGATGGCATTAAATGCCAGAAGGTCCTACAACAGGGGAAATCTGTGAAGTAGAAACAGCGTATTTGTTTCTTATTTTACCCCTCTGTAAATCTGCCCTGCACTCTTATAAATCTCCCACATACTCATACAAACATATTCTACATCTGGAATATGAGAGTCAAATGTGGGTGGTTGGCGGGTGCTCTGGTGTGGTTTGCTCCTTCTTTCCTATCAAACATCTATTGTCATGATCTCTCCTTCTATTTTGTGTTTGTTACTCTCTTGTAACACCTCTAATCTTCGGCACTCATATGACCTTATTGTGTTGCAAGTGCCGTAAAACTCTTACTTAAACTAAAAACTCTTGTAAATCTCTCTCTTACTCATATAAACATATTCTACCCCTGGAATATGAGAGTCAAATGGTATTCTAAAAAAAAAAAACATTTGGTTTATAACACATGCACTTGATAATAATTTTGCAAAAATCTACATGCTACATATGAGTACGGGAATAGATCTTCCCTGGTTTTCTATTATATATGGTTAAATAAAACCAGGATGTAGAGAGGCCTGAGGTTAGTACAGCCAGTGGGTCTATGACACGCAGAGGTCATGACCTTACCAGAGGCATATACATGTATATGCACACGTCACATTGACACAGTATGACAGGTAATTAATTGTCAATGCGCACTGTCATTAAATTGATGGCGTTGTCAAGGCACAATATAGGCAAACTCTGAGGTGATTTTGTTTGAGTAAAGAATAGCACATCGATACAATAATGGTCCTTTAGAGCAAGGAGAAGCATTATATCGATATAAAAACGGTATAATCTTGTGGAAGGTGAAGCACATTGATGCAATAATGATTATTTAGCGCAAGGGAAACGCAAGAGAGACAGACAGAAAGCACGGAGAGAAAGAAAGAAAAGAAGACCTCAATGGCTCACTCCAACCACCCACGAACACTGGTCCATATATGGCTGTGTTTACCGTCACCTGGTGGTTATTAGAAGAAGGAGCCAAGCAGTAGCAGTAGAAAGGCTACAAAAAGAGTCAGGAGCCCAGAGGAGGGAGCAAAGGAGTTAAAGGGTTGGGGGCAGAAAGTGGAGACGAAAGCAGATGACAGAACATTGTTAGAGAGCAGAAAAGGGGGTGAAAGGAGAAAATTTTAGACAATAAAATGTGTCGGTCGCTACCCAGATTCGAACCCGGAACCTTTGAATGAGAGGCGAACACCTTAACCTCTAGGCCACGAGAGCCCCCAGTTATTCTGTGGAGTATCTTCGCCTACTCGTTGGTGTACTGTACTCCACCCTGTGCCTTAGTCGGCAGCGTGTAGTGTAAGCATAGAGCTTACTGTTGAGCGGGAATTTGTGCTACCTGTTTTCAATTCTAACTGCTATTATGAAGCAGCCCGCCTCCTGAATGATCTAACTTGTGTCCGTGGAAAAGACGGAAAGGGGGGTTAGGGGTTAGTGGGGAACTGACCCCTGACCCCTCATTACGTAAGATGTCAGTTTCGGCTGGTGGGGGGGGGGGGGGGGGGGGGAGTGCAGGGAAAATATCTACAACTGTAATGAAAACTTACCAGGTCTAGATGAACGTAGCTGCAGTACACATGTACGCCTTTGCTTTTTGTAGTTTTAGTAGAAGTTTTACGGCGCGGTCATATGAGCGCCGGAAGATTAGAGGTGTTACAAGAAGAGAGTAACAAACAAAAAAAAGAAGAGGAAATAGGGACAATAGATGTTTGATAGGAAAGAAGAAGCAAACCACACCATAGCACCCGCCAACCACCCACTACGCCACTGCACCCTTGCACTGATGATATAGAACAACAGCTGAGCTGCTTTCATAAACTCTCCCTTGTGAAGAAAAAAAAAAAGAAATCCCAGTTGTTCACGATTCAGCTCAGCGGCCTTTCACCTCTTCTTCTTTTTTTATTCAAAAAGATTATAATAATATTGTTCTTGAACTTTCATCTACCCATAAAAATTTCTTTGACGCAGTCTTCTACTTCTGATTAGCATAATATTTCTGTCAGATTTTAATATAAAACGAATGACGCTTGACCCTTCGACACCCCTTTTGTCCACAAAAGACAGATGAGACTGTGGTTGATCTTTGAAGCAACATGTTTTGCTGACGGACGGAATGTTTCTGAAGAAGTCCACCGACTTATGTGTTGGAGAGGGGGGGGGGGGTGTGCGTGGGGGTTTTTTTTTGGGGGGGGTTGTTTTTTGTTGTTGTTTTTTTTTGGGGGGGGCGGGTCACATTATAATATAAGATGTCCTTAGACCGTGTTCTAGCTTAGCTGTTTATTTATCGTCTTTATAAGTTTTAATATAATGTATCTCTCGGTTTATGGGATGCTTGGATGAACATGTTTTAACCACCTGGCTCTCACTAGCAAAACTGAAGGCAAACGAAGCAGGGGCAGAAAAAAAACCCCAGAGTAATTTACTTGAAATACCAACACATGATAGGTGAACTCCGGCTACAGAAAAACAACAGACAGGTGAAGATACTCTGTATAGTCTATGAAATATGTCTAGTTGTGATTCAATGGCTCTTGTTAAAGTTTACCTTCTCTGGATTTTGGCTGGGGAAAATAACTTTGTTGTAGGGAACTGAGCAGATACGGACATAGATCTACCTGATGACTGTTATCAGTTTTTATTTGCTTTTTATTATTTTTTCTTTTGTTTTTTTTTATTACACGCTCTGGCGAAAAAAATTCCTGACTTCACTTATTATTGATATTTGAAAGTGTGAGGTTAGTTTGGTGGGGTGTGTGGAACACATAGTCCCCCCCCCCCCCCCCCCCCCCCCCCTTCCCAAAATCAGAAGGACCAAGTTACTCATTAAATGAACTTTCTCGTGTGTTTGTCGGCCGAAATCAAAATGTGTGCGTGGTTGGCACGTGCTCTGGGGTAGTTTGCTTCTTCTTTCCTATCAAACATCTCTCGTCCTTATTATTTCTCTTCCTTCTTTTTTTGTGCTTGTTACTCTCTTGTAACACCTCTGATCTTCGGCACTTATATGACCTTATTGTGTTGCAAGAGCCGTAAAACGCTTACTAAAACCAAACGAACTCAGAATGTGTGCGTGTGAGATGAAGAGCCTGAGTGTTACATCACACTACGACTCACAAACGACGCTGACCCAGAAGAGAAGTCAATACTCCTACTTTCTAGACAAAAAAAGTACTGTTTACGCACTATTCCAAAGAAGGAAACTCCCAAATTAGGACACTCACGTTCACACAAACACACACTCACACACTTCAACCTCAATCCAGCTATCATCAGATGACACCACCCAGAATCTGTGTTTCCAGTCAGGTCCCGTCCGTCGCCGGAATTTCGGTAATGTCCGTATTTGCTCGGGTCCCTCATGCCACGAGCGCCGAAGACAAGTGTCACTTCCTGAAGACTTGGCCACTTCGTCATCTCCACGATCCCCAAAACGCGAGACACCGGGAATTCCTGGCCTTCGGGAATTTCCCCCACACGGCTTGCACAGACGGGATTAGAGGGTTGTGATGAGGGGTGACGGGGGACGCGGAATCAGGATGTATTGTGACGTCGGAGATCATAGATCGTGTATAACAAGATAGTTCACTCCTCTCTTTGAGTGAGCCAATTTTTTTAAAAAGTGTCCTCAAAATTCGGTGGCGCCCTCTTCGAAAACAAGTGCAGACTTTGCGATCAGAGTTACCCTATTTGTGTGAAAAACAAAAAAATGAAACTAACAAACTGTACTATTCCTATTCTTCTTTTGGAGAAACGAAGGAGAGCTTCAAACAAAGACTACTGCGCCATCTGAACCACTGCGCGGAAGATAGTTATGTACGATCTTTGGCTGAGTGAACTGTCTTGTTATGTACGATCTTTGCGAGGATCTGGGGCAGGCTCTGGGCAGATGGGTGAACCCAAGACTAGAGAACACGGTCTTTGGGTGAACCATGCAGTATGCTGGGTGGGGTCGGGGGATGCAGAGGGCGTTGTTTGTTGTCTTTGACGCCTGAGTGAGATAATTGAGGGGCGGGGCGAGGGAAGAGTGAGTGAATGAGTATGACTGAGAGGGTTACAGCGGACATGGTGTAAGATGCCATGAGTACGCTGAGAGCCTCGAGATCCACCCCCCACCCCCCGCCCACTTCCCTCTTTTCCTTCGGGAAAAAATCATCCAAACAACAACTGTCCAGTTTCTGTTTTGGTTTTTTTTTATTCTTACCCTGCATCGGGTTTCCATCTTTTCTCGGGGCACATTTAGAAAGGGTAATATTTCGAAAACAAACACATGTATCAACAACCCAACATTCATTAGAGTTGGGAGTCCATTTCACGTAAACTTCACTGCACTGGCTTAGGGGGATTCCCAATAAGATCTCTTTAGGACAAAGCAAAAGCATTTGCTCAGAAACAAAGATACGTGGATAATTCAATAGCTGTGGTGGTTTGTCTGCCGTGACA